CTTCTGTCCCTCCTCAGATCTCTTATGTCTTTATCTCCCACTGCCTTCAGGAGAAGCAAACCCAAGATGGTTTCTCATCAAGAGAAGGAAGCATTTGAGGTAGACAGTATCTTGGATCCCTTCTGGCTCCAGATGTACCTGTGTTTAAGAAAAAGAAAAAGAAAAAATGTAACTCTAACCTTAAGACACTTACAGTTAATTATTGGGACATGGTGCCAGAGCCCAGCCTGAAACTAGCCTGCTTTGTCAGCTTTCCCAGAACTATAACCACAAAGTAATTTCAAATGAAAGTCCCACATGACCAAGCTTGGAAGCACTTGTTGGAGAACTTTATAGAAAGAATTGACATTTCGAGACACTCTCCGAGCATTTGTCCAGCCAACAGCTTTACAAGCAGCATCTGTAGAATCGTACCTTTTTATGGTTTCCCACACTGTAATGTGATAAAATATCTTCTTCCAGTTAGCTCAAGGAACTTCTCCCTATAGGAAGCTGATGTGTGTGTGTTTTTTATATTAGATGAATTTCTCATCTATTTTCTGAGAGGCTGATTATTCCTGTTAATATGAACTAATAAAACTATGAGAAGCTGGGCACTGTTGGCTCACACTTGGAATCAGGAGGCTGGGATCTAAGGATCACAGTTCAAAGCCAGCCCAGGCAGAAAAGGCCAAGACTCTTTTTTCCATTTAACCTCCAGAAAATAGGAAATGGAGCTGTGGTTCAAAGAGGTCTAGTGCTAGCCTTGAGAGAAAATTGTTCAGGAATTGCTCAGTTTAAGCCCTATGACCGACAAATAAATAAACAAACAGCAACATGAACAACTATACTCATAGTTATTGTTTTTGTCATCTTATCCAGCAAGAAGATTAGCTTTATAGAAAGAAAATCATTTATGCCTATGTATAAATGCATTTGTATCTAGTAGATTTGTACCAAAATACTATGTTAGCCAACCTGAAAGTGTGGACAGAGACAAGTGAGAGCAGACAAAGAACTTGACTAGGCAATCAGGGCAAAGGCCCCACTCATATAGGGCTTCTGCAATCCTCACCATGGCCTGAGCAATCCTGTATAAGGAACACTAGCTGTCAGATCACCAGGGCCTTGAGCAATCATGCATGCAGGCCCCTGGGCAGCACACCATGGCCATTAGAAGACTTGCACATAAACAACCCTAGAGCTGTGCACCAGAATGGGAACCCAGTCAGAAGGGCTAGGGGATGCATAGCGAGCTTGTGCTGGCTGCATGGAGCCTCCAATTGGGTCTGGAGACTCATGTGACCCTCAGGCTATCTAATGATCTCCAGAATCACATACAGCTCTCCTAGAGACACATCTTACTAACTCCTAGAATGCATCCCAGATGAATCCCAGTCCGTGCCCCCCCTCACCCCCCCCGCCCTGCTGCACCCCAGCCTTCCCTCTTGGCTTCTCTCCCATCTAGAGGGAGCTCTGCTTACCTTTTTCTTCAATAAATATTTTCTGTTTTACTTCTTCTCTGTGTCCCTGGTCCATGGAGACAAAGGACTCAATCCAGGTGCTGCAATTTTTCATTATCTCTGCATGATAGAAACTGAGTGAAAATAACCTATTGAGCTTCAACAACAAGCCTTAAAAGACACCGTTAAGAACACTGATAAAAAAATAGATTTTGTTGGGCTGGGAAGGTGGCTCAGTGGTAGAGCGCTTGCCTTGCATGCATGAGGCCCTGGGTTTGATTCCTCAGCACCACATAAGCAAAAAGAAAAAAGCCGGAAGTGGCACTGTGGCTCAAGTGGTAGAGTGCTAGCCTTGAGCTGAAGAGCTGAGGGACAGCGCCCAGGCCCAGAGTTCAGGCCCCACGACCGGACCCCCCAAAAAAAAAATAGATTTTGTTAAGAAGTCACAATGGTATGCAATAGCGTGCTACATCAAGATGTTAAAGACTCTGTGTTAGACATTAACAAAATAGTTTATTATAAGTCAACTATGAGTGATTGTAGCTTTGGCAATTGAGCTCTTCATTTTCAGGATTTGATTATTTTTCCCTAGATTTCTGTATCTTTAGTAATTTCCTCTTTCATATCCTGCACTACCTTTTTTTTCGTACAAATGTTTGTATTCTTTTGTTTGATCTACTTAGAATTCATTCAGGTGTCTAAATATCAGCTCTTATTTCACTAACCATGCTTTGTGTGTGTGTGTGTGCGCACACACACACGCATGCACATGTGTATGGCAGTATTGGGGCTAGGACTCTGGGCCTGGGCGCTGTCCCTATGCTCTTTTGCTCAAGGCTAGTGCTCTACCACTTGAGCCATACTTCCACTTCCAACTTTTCTCACCTGGACTGGCATCAAACCATGATAATCAGATCTCATCCTCCTAAGTAACTAGGATTATAGGCTTGAGCCACGAATGCCCAGCTTCATTATCCATTCTTGACCCTGTTTTTTTTTTTTTTCATTAGTCATGGGGCTTGAACTTGTTATGCTGGGTAGGAGGCAGAGGTGAAGTCTTGAGAGTTGAGCATATATTTTATATATATATATGTATATATATATTTATACACACACACATACACACACAAATAAAACACCTAAGCAACAGCAATCACCATCACCAAGAATGAGAAAAAAAGAAAAGAAAAAAGGAACTCAAAGCAACAAGCCAAAAAAAAAAAATGACATTGCATAACCTAGTTACCAAGTATGACTGTAGATAGTGAGGAAGAATTAGAGATGGGAAAACAAGGATAAAACAAAGTATGACTGAGAGAAGAGCTCTACTTATAGATAGAAAAAAAGGCATAAATAGGTCAGGAAAAAGGGAGGGGAGCACATGATGTGTGAATACTAAAATACTAAAAACTAAATACTTTTAGAATACTAAAAGGCAGGTATCAGGTATTGTCATTAAGTATGATGATTTCAGAGAAATGAAGAAAAGGAGAAGAAAACTACAAAAATTAAATGGTAGAAGGTAACAGTACAGGCCTATGCTACAATGTAGAAATTAAATGTCTCTTGTATAATTTACAAAAAAGAAAAACTATAATGAATAATCAAAATAATCAAATTGAAACAGAAAAAAAGACAGACATTGTCCCGACCCGCAGGACTTCAATGAGGGCAATGAACCTAAGAGAGAAGGAATGAAGGGACAAGAGACACGAAGAAGGACAGCAAGACAAGGATTCTGATCAAGCCGCCAATTTTTATTTTTCACACAGGGGTATTTATATGCTTAGAATAAGGAAGCTTTTTCATTGGCCGTAGCAGCTGTAGGATGTTTGCTTAGGGCAGTGTGAAAAGGTGGTCTTTAGCAGCTACCTGGTCTTTGTTTGGGGTAGGATGAAAGGACCGGATTCTGTAAACACCCTGGAGATGTTCCAGGGAGATAGTCAAGCTTAGGGCTCCTGACAGACATAAACAACAAAATATATTTTTTCTGGTTGTGTGGCTTGAACTCAGGGCCTGGATGCTGTCCCTGAGATTTTTTTGCTCAAGGCTAGTACCCTACCACTTTGAGCCACACTCTACTCCCAGGTTTGGTTTTTTTTGCAGGGCGGGGGTGGGGGGGAGAGTGTTGACTGGTTAATTGGAGGTAGAGTCTTATGGGGCGCGTGACGGGGGCATACTCTGTAATCCTAGCTATTCTAGAGGCTGAGATCTGAGGATCATAGTTCAAGCCAGCCCAAGCAGGAAAAGTCCATGAGACTCTTACTTTTAATAAACCACTCAGAAAACCAGAAGTGGCACTGTGGCTCCAGTGGTAGAGTGCTTGCTTAAGCTGAAATGCTCAGGGACAGCACCCAGACTCAGAGTTCAAGCCCCACACCACGACCACCACCAACAAAAAAGTTTTATGGGGATTTTTCTGCTCAGGCTGGCTTCAAACTGACATCTTCAGGTCTCAGGTATGAGCCACTGGTACCTGGCAAAATAAATTTTTATTGCTATTACGTGTCTATATATGTATATTTATATATAGGTCTATCCAGTGAACAAAGCAGCTTTATATCTAGGTATGAGCACTCCCCCCCCCATCAGACTTTACATGGAAACAAGGGGCAAGCCTTTCAGAATTTTAGCTGTTGCAGCTGGCTAATGCCTGTGAGGCTGATGTCTCTATTGATTGACACAATAAGGATTCCCCAGGCTACTTTTCTGCCAAGTGGTTGGAGTGGCTGTCTCTAATGGCAGGCTATGCTAGTATTCCACCTGAGCCACAGTGCCACTTTTGGCTTTTTCTGCTTATGTGGTGCTGAAGAATCAAATCCAGTGCCTCACATATGCAAGGCAAATACTCTACCCACTGAGCCACCTTCCCAGCCCCTATGCCAGGCTTTTTGAGCTGCCACTTCACTTTCCTCTGTTGTAAAATGATAGTCACCGTCCTGATGTACATAGCTGGCAGAGTCCCATGTATATGCCAGTTTTCTGAGGTGCTACAGGTCTCTGTGGTGAGAGCCCAAGTGCCTGTGCAATCCAGCTTGGCAGGACTCCCATCCTCCATCTCCTGGAATTACCAGTGACTGGGCTTCTCCAGACTCTGCCTTTTAAACTGCAGGAAGAAGAAATGGTCATATGGGTCAGAAAGTTCAGCTATTAACATGTGAAGGAGGAGACGTGGGGCAAGTGAGGAAAAAAAAAACATGAAATGACCATTCATATTTGTAAGTCTATTGTGATGGTTAAACTGGATGTCCAACTTGGATTGAGATACACCTAAGACCACCCCCGGACAGGGTTTCCCGAGACAATTTGATCACAGGGGTCTGACTTAATAGCTTAATCTATTGTTAGATTCAAAAGCCCTCTGCTGGGAGATGGTCAGCTCTGGAAAGTGGAACCTGGGTCCCTCCCAGCCTGCTTCCTGGCTGCCATGAGGTGAGAAGCTCTCTTCTGCCCTGATGCTCTGCCTCCACACAGCCTCCAAAATATGCAGTCAACCAGCCTTGGACTGAAGCCTCTAAACCATGAGCCAGAATTAATCTTGGCTTCTTGTAGGTTGCTTAATGGCAGGTATTTTGCCACAGTGATGAAAAACTGATTAACATGTCTATGAAATCTAAAAGTACTGGACACATATATTTAAGGAAGAAGTTTATATATAACAAATTACATAAACTCGGAATTTAAAAAAAAACAGTTTATTCGTAAGTTAAGGGAACACACAAGCATACTGTACTTAATACTATGACAAGAGTAAGAAAAATACATTGATGTTCATGAAACTATTGTGGAAGCTTGTAGGGGTAAGCTCTCCGCATGGGGTGAATGTTTTGGGGCTGCACGGATTGGGTCGACAGGATCTTCTGGATCTTCTCCTCATTGGCCTTCTGTGCTGCCATTCCTGACTCAAATTCTCGGCGCTGCTCTGCCTTCTCAGCTTCTCGGATCTGCTGCTGGTGAGCAATTTGCATCTGAAGATGCTCCCTGTATTTCTGGGCTAACTCACACCGCCTGAAGCATTAGAAATGTTGAAGTGTCAAATTAGTAAATATTTGGTTTTATTTAATTATAATTAAGTTATAATTTGTGAAAACAAATTAAGATTACAATTAAGACCAAGAAGTTTCCTGTTTGCTTCTTCTGATCTTTTTTTTTTTTTTTTGAGACAGGGATTTTATCATATAACCCAGTCTGACCAGGAACTCACCTCAAACCTAAGATTCTCCTGCCTCAACCTTCCAAGTGCTGAAATTCAGGTGGATACTGCAATGAGTACTCATATGATTGAAAACTTTCACAGTAAAATATTTGGGGAAAAAGTCAAGGGGAATGGGGAAGAAATAGGTGAAAAATTCCATAATATATTTCTTATGCAATTATCTTTAATAAAGTCTTAGAGAAGGTACAAATTTTAGAGAAGGTACATCATCTCTTTTTGAAATATTTACTGGCAGGTAGAGGAAACCCTTTTCTTACTCTTCTCCAGGAAAGAAATGGTTTATCAAAAAGTTGGAGTGAACATATAGGCATATTGTATATAGACAGCCATGCCCTATACTGAGTAACTCCATATTCTAATTTTTTTTTATTTTTTGGAAGTATTAGAGTTTTGAACTCAGGGCCTTATTCTAGCAAAGCAAGTGCTCTACCATGTAAGCCATGCTAGAATGCATTCCTCCTCTCTATGCCTTCCCTGAGTAATTCCATTTTGTGCGTGTACGTGTATACGTGTATAGTATGTGTGTGTTTGCATGTACACAGGTGCATGCACATGCACTAGTACTTGGGCTTGAACTCAGAGTCTTGTACTCTTATTCAGCTTGCTTGTTCATGGCTAGACTCTACCACTTGAGCCATACCTCGGGCCCAGCATTCACCTATTAATTAGAGATGGAGTCTATAGATTTTTCTGCTCAGATTAGCTTCAAATTTTGATCATCCGGGTCCTCGCTTCTGGAATGAGGGACACATAAAGGTGATGAGAGAGTGGTGGGCCTGGAAAGGGACACCATCCACCATGCATGTCTTCCATTGGCTTTCTCTCTATTGTACCCTTTATGATAAGCTTATATGAAGTGTGTTCCTGTGTTCTGTGAAAAGATCTAGCACACTGAATGTTAACAGCTGTTAGATTTAGAGCTGTTAGATGTATGTCAGAAGTGGCCTGGACTTGTGATGTGTGTCTTACATAGAAACAGTACTGTAGATCTAAGCTCCCCATCTTTGGGGTCGGCATTAACTCAGGACAGTGAACATCAGAACCAAAAGTTACTGTTGCATAGTGACTTTTTGCTAAATCAGACATCAGCATATTTTTATGCTGGTCCTGGGACTTGAACTCAGGGCCTGTGTGCTGTCCCTTAGCTTTTCACTCACAGCAGGTGCTCTATCACTTTAGCCACAACTCCACTTACAACTTTTTGCTGGTTAATTGGACTTTCCTGACCGGCTGACTATGAGCTTCAATCCTCAGATCACAGCCTCATAAGAAGTTAGTATTATAAGTGTGAGCCATCAGCACCCAACTGTCTTCTTTTTTTTTTTAACTTTACAAAGACAGTTGGTGCCTTTTTTATGTGAAATTTTATAAAATGCATTGAGCTTCTATGACAAGTGTAATATTAATGTAAAATAATGTCAATAATGCATTAATTAGTGGCATATTATCATCTATGTTAAAAATACTGGTTTTGGTAACAAATGATAATATTAAAGAAAACAAAATCATACCTTGCATAATTTTCCTCTCCATCAAAGTAAAGTGCTCTAAGGCCTTCAGCTATGCGTTTCTGCTCCATGGCATAATCTTCCTGTTCTTTGGCTTTCCGTTGTACTAAGAAAGGCAAGACAAATTATTTTCCAAATGCCTTTTCCACACAAGACATGACAATACCTTAAGATCTGCCAATACTTCTTCTCTGGGTACCAAAAGCCATACTGTCTGGTAGGACATGCCAATGGGCCTGATTTGCCTGACCTGAGTGCTGTGTGTATAGCCATATGCCAGCAAGGGTTAACAACTTGTGTGTGTGTGTGTGTGCTCACGCGCACGTGTGCGCACATGCATGGTGATCCTGGGCTTGAACTCAGGGCCTGTACCAGAGCCTTTTTAGCTCAAGGCTAGTGCTTTGCCACTCAAGCCCAAGAGCCACTTCAGGCTTTTTCTGAGTAATTAAGTGGAGATAAGAGTCTCATGAGTTTCCTGGCTTTGAACTGCTATCCTCAGATCTCAGCCTCCTGAGTAGCTAGGACTACAGGCATGAGCCACTGTTGCCCAGCTTAATTTTCTTTATGAAAGAAATAACTAGTAACTGAGTGCAGGTAAGAAATAGGGGAAGAATTCCCTGGGCCGAGATTGGGTTCTGGATGGAGACCCTCTGGTCAGCTGCTTGTGTGAGATGTCAGCAGACTGAAGTGAGGACCCTGGAAAGAGGAGTCATTGCAAACGAGAGAATGCAGACAGCCTCTGAAGGTAGGAGATATTTCAGCTGGCCTTGACGGTCTAGGATTTCTCAAGATAAAGAGCATCATAGACAGAAGAAAACACCCATCTGAAACTACAAAAAAAAAGACTGCTAGGCACCTTTGGGTCTGTAATACTAGCTACTCAGAAGGCTGAGATCTGAGGATCACAGTTTGAAGGCAACCAGGCAGGAAAGTCCATGATACTCTTATCTCCAATTAACCACCAAAAAGATGGAAATGGCTCAAGTGGTAAAAGCACTAGCCCTGAGAGAAAAAACTCAGACAATAGGCCCAGACTGAGTTCGAGACCTAGTACTAGACTAGTGTGTGTGTCTTAGACTAGTGTGTGTATATATATGTGTGTGTGTGTGTGTGTGTGTGTGTGTGTGTATGTGTGTGTGTATAAACTATATATATATATATATAAACAAGTTTGGTATGGTAGTATGAGCTTGGAACCCTAGCTTCTCAGGAGGCTGGCAGGTAGCTCAGTAGTAGAGCACTTGCCTCTCATGCTTGAGGTCCTCGATTCATTGCCAAGTACTGCTAAAATAATAACAAGAGGGGAATAATAAGAAGGAGGTGTGTATTATACTGCTTTATTATCCTTGAGAACATTTTTCCTGGTACTGCTTAGAATCTGCTGAAATACAGATTTTTTTCATTTTTTGGGGGGGGGGTCCGGTCGTGGGGCCTGAACTCTGGGCCTGGGAGCTGTCCCTCAGCTCTTCAACTCAAGGCCAGTGCTCTACCACTTGAGCCACAGCGCCACTTCCGGCTTTTTTCTTTTTGCTTATGTGGTGCTGAAGAATCGCACCTAGGACCTCATGCATGCAAGGCAAGCGCTCTACCACTGAGCCACCTTCCCAACCCCTAGATTTTTTTCATTTTCTTTTCCTGTCTTTTTTTCCTTTTCTTTCAAGCCTGTACTGGGGCTTGAACTCAGGACCTGAGCACTGTTGTTGAGCTCTTTTGCTCAAGTTTAACACTCTACCACTTGAGCCAAAGATACACTTCTGCTTTTTGGTAGTTAGAGGTATGAGTCACATGGACTTTCTTGCTGGAATGGCCTAGAACTGCAATCTTCAGATCTCAGTAGCTCAGATTACAGGTGTGAGCCACTGGTGCCCAGCCAATGAAATGCTTCCTATGTGTATATATATCTCATGTATACGATATATTTATTACACTTTGCAAAAGCAAAACCTTGCCTTAATGTTTTTTGTATTGCTCAGAATGTTTCACACATACTTATTTAAATATTTTTGTTGTTGCTTAAGTTGGAGTAATGGCAAAATATAAAATAAGTATAATTCAGTTCCTTACACTTTTCCTCTACTTGGAGTTGTCTTGTACGTGTGACCTCATTCAAGAGTTGTTGCCTTGCCTCCTTTTCAAGTCTCAGCTGTTTGTCCTTCTCAGCCCACTTCTTTTCCTTCTCTTCCTCTAACATTCTGTTCAATTCTTTCTCCTGAGCTTTTTCTTCCTCATGTCGCTGTGCCAAATATTCAAGATACAACTTCTGTTCTCTCATCATATTGTCCTACATGAAATAGAAATTAATTTATCTTGTTACAAATAAAGTTTAAGCTGGGCACCGGCGGCTCAAACCTGTAATCCTAGCAACTCAGGAGACTGAGATCTGAGAATTGCATTTCAAAGCCAGCCCAGTCAGGAAAGTCTGTGAAAGTCTTATCTCCAATTAACCACTAGAAAACAAAACTGGTGTTGTAGCTCAAAATAGCAGAGCACTACTAGCTTTGGGAAAAAAGCTCAGGGACAGTGTCCAGGCCCTGAGTTCAAGCTTCACACCAAAAAACAAAAGGGGGGGAGGCTGGGAAGGTGGCTCGGTGGTAGAGTGCTTGCCTTGCATGCATGAGGCCCTGGGTTCGATTCCTCAGCATCACATAAGCAGAAAAAAAAAGCCGGAAGTGGTGCTGTGGCTCAAGTGGTAGAGTGCTAGCCTTGAGCTGAAGAGTTGAGGGACAGCACCCAGGCCCAGAGTTCAGACCCACAACCGGACCCCTCCCCCCAAAAAAGGGGGCAAATTTAAGAGCAAACCTTTAAAGTTATC